AAAAAAAAAAAAAAAAAAAATGCAAAAAAACTTCTGCAGTTTTCTATTACAAGTCTTGAGTTTCCTTGGTTAAATATATTCCTAATATTTTCCTGATGATTTTCTTCATCTTTATCTATAAGAGATATTGGTCTATAGGGTTCTTCCCTTGTGATGTCTGTATCTGGTTTTCTTATCAGAGTAATATTAACATCATAGAATTATCTGAATAGCATTCCTTCCTCTTCTATTTTTTAGAAAAGTTGACATGTTGATTCTTCCTTAAGAGGCAGGTAGAATTCACCAGTGAAAAAGCCATCTTGTCAAAAAAAAAAAGTCATCTTGTTGGGGCTGTTTGGTTGGGATGTTTTCGATTCAATAGATCTGTTCAAATTTTCTTTTTCTATATTTATTTCAGAATATTATAGGGGTACCCATGTTTTGGTTATGTAATTTGCTTTTGCACATTTCAAGTCAAAATTATAAGTGTGCCCTTCACCCAGAAGATGTGCATTGTACGAGCACCAGGGTGTTAATTTACCAAACCTCTTCTCCCTGCCTTCCACCTACTTGATTTCCTTTGAGTTTTACTTCCATATGTGCACATAAGTATTGATCAACTAGTTTCAGTATAGTATGGAATACATGTGGTGTTTGTTTTTCAATTCTTGCAATACTTCACTTAGAAGAATGGTCTCCATTTCCATCCAGATTGTTACAAAAGATACTAGATCACTCATTTTTTATGGCTGAGAAGTACTTCATGGTATTCATATACGACATTTTGTGATTTTATGGTTATGGTGGTTTTATGATTAATAAAAATACTCAGGTATGTATTATGATTTATCTTGATTAGTAATACTCATGTATTAATGGCGATTTAAGTTGTTTCTATATCTGTGCAATTGTGTATCCTGGTTCTATAAACATGCAAGTACACATACCTTTTTTTTTAAATGTCCTTTTTTTCCCTAGTAATAAGAGTTCCGGATCAAATGGTAGGTCTACTTTTAGTAACTCTTTGCTTGAGTTACCTCCATACTACTTTCCATAGTGATTGTCCTAGTCTGTAAACCCACCAGCAAGGTGCAATGTTCTTTTCTCTCTCCATCCATACCAGTATGTTATTCTGGGACTTTGTGATAAGATCCATTCTCACTGTGGTGATATTTCACTGTGGTTTTGATTGCATTTCCCTGATGATTAGAGACATTGAGCACTGTTTCATGTGTTTCTTGGCCATTAAACTATCTTCCTTTGAAAAGTTTCTGTTCATGATCATCTATTGAATCCTAGTTTCAGGAGATAAGGACTGGGGACCTTCATTTTAACTAGCTCCCCAGGTAATCCACTGCAAATTCACTTAATTGAAAAACACTAGAATATTGCCTCATTCTTTGATGTAATTAGAGATCAAATTAGAAAGAGATGGAAGAATATACAAAATTTCTGGGAGTTCAGAGAGTTTCCTATTTTGTGCTGAGAATTGTGGGTGGGGGCCTGTGGGTGGGAAACAGGAGAGACATAGGACAGCTAGGAGGGAACACACCAGGAGTGGGATAGAGATGGATGTCAGAGGGAACTCACAGTGAACTTTACCTTCAGTCTCAATAATGTTAAGGGGAAACCCTGAGGTTCTCTAATCACAAACTAGGGAATAATAGTTCATTCTTGTCAATAAACAGAGCAGGTTCTTCTCCTCTTGAAAGGGTGAAACCAATGCAAGGAAGCAAAAACAGAGATGTTGAAAGCAATGACACGATCAATGAGTCAATCAGGATAGGGATATACTATCTCTCCCTTCCCCACAAAAGCGTCACTTGTCAGGATGTCCATATGGTAAGAGGACTGGACCAGTGAGGATAGGGTCCTGTCTCAACATCATCCCTTCTTTATCTTCATTGTCCTGAGGTGTAAAATAAAAGTATTACTTCAGAAAAAGAGAATAAAGAAAA